GATAACCGCGTAAGTCGAATTCGCGTAAGTCGGGGTATAATTTCGCAATTTGTGTAAAATCCAAATCGGATGTATGTAACTAATAAATGTTCTCGTTAATCTTATCTCATCTTTTGATTCATTCACGGTTACAAGAAATCACCACATAGAGTTTCTCGAGTCTCCGTAGATATAACAAACACAGAAATAAATAACACAAAATAAATTGTAGCTATGTGTCGATTCCGCACGACACATCTGAACATGTAAGCTGAAAAATAGTGTGGGGGGGGAGTGAGTAATCGAGAGTTGCGTGGCGCTCAAACAAAAGACGAATCGACGAGATTTGAAAATCGCGTAACTCCGGGTTTGCGTAAGTCGGGGTAGCATAAGTCGAGGTATTACTGTATAAAAGTTTTTAAAATAATATATGTCATAACAGATGACACTAAACAGAAGTTTAATTTTGTTCCAATATATCTTAGTGTTTCTTAAACATAAATATTTTTTCACTGGGAAAAGTATGCACATCATTGCTGGACTTTTTTATGTATAGTTTAATTTTACCCTCAGAAACTGTGCAAACTTTTTATTTCCTTATATATCAATAATTGTAAACTTAAGGACTGTTGCAAAGAGGGTCTAAGTAACTCAACCAAAAGTTGTAGTTGACTTCCTCCTGAAAGAGAGGACGGTTGCCGACTACTAATTAATACTAGTCTACTATTAATATTTGAAAAGTGATCAGTGTTGGATAGGTTGTGATTGCCCCACATGTGAGCGAAGTTGCTAATCTTAACATTTGAAAGGCTTCATATGATATGTTTAAATAAAAAAATCTTATAAAAATGCCAGAATAATTGCTTTTGTATGATAATAAATGTTTATATTTTTGCAAGACATTGTACAAACTATGTGGGAAATATGTTCTTGTCAATATCACATTTATAGAAAAATTATTAGAATTAGCTTGATATATTTGGTTATGGCAACATGACATATGCGATCTGTCAAGGGAGATTCATCCTGGGGCAATTTTTTTTTATTTTTTATTTTTTTTGTGAAGCTGGTTTCTAGGTATTACTAATGTGAAGGGTACCCGGAAAACTTTTGTTGGCCATGACTGAACCCACGACTGACTACCAGTGTTCGGCGGTTTTGTCCACTCACCTACTGGAAGAACACTTATTAGAACTAAAAAGTATCATTTAGAAATGAAAAATCCTGAGTTGTTAAATGTGGAAAATTAAATACTTATAGACTTTTCATGGGTTAACACTTTCCATTTTTCATAAGCAAGTGCTATGTGTTATCTGTTGCAGTAACAATATAGCAGGTCTAATTTGCACTGTCATTGTCGCAGTAATTAAATGAATATAATATATATTTTAAAAAATTATATCCTTTTTGTAAGAATTATATTTAGTTTATTATTTTCTTAAATTTTTGTCAGTAGATGGTGCTATGTGTAAACTCAGCAAATTGAATGTAGACAAAAATTAATTGATATATAGAAATCCAATCAATATTTTGGGGTGAGATTTCATAAATCTCACCCCAAAATATTGTTAGAATATTGTTGAAATCTAAGTTAGAAGTATGTCTATGTAAATGCTGAGTTTCGTAGCAATTGGTCAAATGGCCTAGGTGTGCATAACAAACAAACAAACATTTTCATTTATATATATACATAGCTAAAGTAATTTGTGTTTTATTTTACCAGGTAGTCAAGCAGGTGATGATGTTCAGCTTTCGCAACTTAGACTTAAGTCTAGAACTAAAATCATGATGGTCGGAAACTTAGAAGAAGTTATAGCCGACGCTACTGCCACTCCTGATGATCTTCCAGTTGTCGTAAATGACTTTGATATCGAAGAGGATGACGTTGCTGTCGAAAACAAAGATATATTTCTTGCCAAAGTTGAAAAGAGAATAAGGGAATATGATATAAAAATATTAAATCAGCCCCGTGACGGAAAGAAGCTACTCGTATTGGATATTGATTATACTCTTTTTGGTAATTATGTATTAGTTAATTACATTTTTAAGTTCTGTTAGAATAGACTCTGTTATGATTCATTAAACTTCTGTTGTGGTAAGCAATAAATTTATAAACAGTTAAGATTTATAGCAATTTTTAAGAATTGTGACTTCTAATGTTCTTTTGCACAAATGATGGATAAAAATCTATAATTTAGTCATAAATTTTTAATTTTACACAATTTTATGTTTGCTTATTTAGCCTATAATAGATTCTTTTACAGATATAATAGAATCTGATAAAAAGTAATAATAGGAAGTAGTTAAACACAGGATGTGTGAAAAAGAATGCTACCATTTTAAATTATTGTGATTACATTAATTATTATCCAAAATGTTAATTTGGATAATAATTTACATTAAGATATTCAAAAACTTTTCAAGTTTCAAATTTTTCCATTACAATTTCTCAAACTGTGCACCTTGTGTTACATGGCACATATTCACTGATTCTCAAATTTTTTCCTACACTCGCTATGACATAGCCGTTGTTATAATGGATGTCATAGTGAGCAGCAATAATACTACAGCTACTGCAGATTATTCATGCTGCATGATGATGTGTCATTCTGACTTTGCAAACTGCAGAATACAAAACTCCTTTGTTGCAAATTGTCACTTTTATTCATAACACTTCCTAGAGGGTGTAGATAATAAGACATTCGAATGCAGACGTGAGACAAAACTCAGATAGTATATGTGGTCCTGATCAAACCCGTAATGAGCTCACTAAAGAAAAAAGGCCTTCTTAGTGTTCACAGAGTGGAGAGAGTTAAACAAGAACAAAAAGAATACAAGACTTCAAATTGCTATTGCATTTAAATACAAATAACTTACACAGTTATCATCTTGTGAAAATCATTGCTATTAATCTGTCAAATTTTCTTAAATATAAATTTTCACTTTTTTACTATACTTTCTTAATTAGTAACATGCAAAAAAAGTTTCTTTATAAAATTTTATTTTATTTAAAAAATGAAAAAAACTATTTTAGTTTTATTTTTAAAAAATTATATTATTTTCTTATTTACTCGACAGATGGCTGTATTCTGGGTAAATTTTCCCGAATTTTTAGGAGCCATTCGACTTTCAAATATATTTAATTATTATTATATTTGGTAAGCTTTTTGTTAATATTTTAATGTTTTGTTAAAAATTAATTCAAAATTTCTTTTCGTTTCATTTGGTCTTTTGATAATGCCGTGATTCTGTTTCGTCATTAAATATTGTGACAGTTACAGAAATTTCATTATGAACTGTCTTTTTGTTTTATTTTCATACAAACAATTACTCAACTCTGCTAGACAATGTCAGTGAAATTATTCTGTTAATATTGTACAATATAACTCACTTTCCAGGTGTTAAATTAAAAAAGAAAAAGAATCAACTTTAAATTTGAGTACTTTTGTTGATTTTAATATTAATTTCTTCCAGAATATGGCTGTTAAAGACAATTTAAAATTAAATTATAGGAAGTTCTTTAATCCAGCACCTGGCCAAATGTCTGTTAAATTTAATCTGACACTCTTAGTGCTTCTAGTGGGTTTGGGGTTGTTTGACTATGTGAATTCTTTTATTGGGAGAATAATATTAGTGTGGGTCATTCTCTTGATAAAGAACTTGTGTTTGGTACAAAATATTAAATCATGATATACACAGTGTGCATCAGAAGTAGTAGTATAGTAATAGGACAATATATTAGGGCAGTTTAATAGGGTGAATCTGTTTGACAAGTTAGAGTTATGCTTGAAGTGCTCTCTTGAGCACTTCAAGCATAACTCTAACTTGTCAAACAGATTCACCCTATTAAACTGCCCTAATATATTGTCCTATTACTATACTACTACTTCTGATGCACACTGTGTATATCATGATTTAATATTTTGTACCAAACACAAGTTCTTTATCAAGAGAATGACCCACACTAATATTATTCTCCCAATAAAAGAATTCACATAGTCAAACAACCCCAAACCCACTAGAAGCACTAAGAGTGTCAGATTAAATTTAACAGACATTTGGCCAGGTGCTGGATTAAAGAACTTCCTATAATTTAATTTTAAATTGTCTTTAACAGCCATATTCTGGAAGAAATTAATATTAAAATCAACAAAAGTACTCAAATTTAAAGTTGATTCTTTTTCTTTTTTAATTTAACACCTGGAAAGTGAGTTATATTGTACAATATTAACAGAATAATTTCACTGACATTGTCTAGCAGAGTTGAGTAATTGTTTGTATGAAAATAAAACAAAAAGACAGTTCATAATGAAATTTCTGTAACTGTCACAATATTTAATGACGAAACAGAATCACGGCATTATCAAAAGACCAAATGAAACGAAAAGAAATTTTGAATTAATTTTTAACAAAACATTAAAATATTAACAAAAAGCTTACCAAATATAATAATAATTAAATATATTTGAAAGTCGAATGGCTCCTAAAAATTCGGGAAAATTTACCCAGAATACAGCCATCTGTCGAGTAAATAAGAAAATAATATAATTTTTTAAAAATAAAACTAAAATAGTTTTTTTCATTTTTTAAATAAAATAAAATTTTATAAAGAAACTTTTTTTGCATGTTACTAATTAAGAAAGTATAGTAAAAAAGTGAAAATTTATATTTAAGAAAATTTGACAGATTAATAGCAATGATTTTCACAAGATGATAACTGTGTAAGTTATTTGTATTTAAATGCAATAGCAATTTGAAGTCTTGTATTCTTTTTGTTCTTGTTTAACTCTCTCCACTCTGTGAACACTAAGAAGGCCTTTTTTCTTTAGTGAGCTCATTACGGGTTTGATCAGGACCACATATACTATCTGAGTTTTGTCTCACGTCTGCATTCGAATGTCTTATTATCTACACCCTCTAGGAAGTGTTATGAATAAAAGTGACAATTTGCAACAAAGGAGTTTTGTATTCTGCAGTTTGCAAAGTCAGAATGACACATCATCATGCAGCATGAATAATCTGCAGTAGCTGTAGTATTATTGCTGCTCACTATGACATCCATTATAACAACGGCTATGTCATAGCGAGTGTAGGAAAAAATTTGAGAATCAGTGAATATGTGCCATGTAACACAAGGTGCACAGTTTGAGAAATTGTAATGGAAAAATTTGAAACTTGAAAAGTTTTTGAATATCTTAATGTAAATTATTATCCAAATTAACATTTTGGATAATAATTAATGTAATCACAATAATTTAAAATGGTAGCATTCTTTTTCACACATCCTGTGTTTAACTACTTCCTATTATTACTTTTTATCAGATTCTATTATATCTGTAAAAGAATCTATTATAGGCTAAATAAGCAAACATAAAATTGTGTAAAATTAAAAATTTATGACTAAATTATAGATTTTTATCCATCATTTGTGCAAAAGAACATTAGAAGTCACAATTCTTAAAAATTGCTATAAATCTTAACTGTTTATAAATTTATTGCTTACCACAACAGAAGTTTAATGAATCATAACAGAGTCTATTCTAACAGAACTTAAAAATGTAATTAACTAATACATAATTACCAAAAAGAGTATAATCAATATCCAATACGAGTAGCTTCTTTCCGTCACGGGGCTGATTTAATATTTTTATATCATATTCCCTTATTCTCTTTTCAACTTTGGCAAGAAATATATCTTTGTTTTCGACAGCAACGTCATCCTCTTCGATATCAAAGTCATTTACGACAACTGGAAGATCATCAGGAGTGGCAGTAGCGTCGGCTATAACTTCTTCTAAGTTTCCGACCATCATGATTTTAGTTCTAGACTTAAGTCTAAGTTGCGAAAGCTGAACATCATCACCTGCTTGACTACCTGGTAAAATAAAACACAAATTACTTTAGCTATGTATATATATAAATGAAAATGTTTGTTTGTTTGTTATGCACACCTAGGCCATTTGACCAATTGCTACGAAACTCAGCATTTACATAGACATACTTCTAACTTAGATTTCAACAATATTCTAACAATATTTTGGGGTGAGATTTATGAAATCTCACCCCAAAATATTGATTGGATTTCTATATATCAATTAATTTTTGTCTACATTCAATTTGCTGAGTTTACACATAGCACCATCTACTGCTGACAAAAATTTAAGAAAATAATAAACTAAATATAATTCTTACAAAAAGGATATAATTTTTTAAAATATATATTATATTCATTTAATTACTGCGACAATGACAGTGCAAATTAGACCTGCTATATTGTTACTGCAACAGATAACACATAGCACTTGCTTATGAAAAATGGAAAGTGTTAACCCATGAAAAGTCTATAAGTATTTAATTTTCCACATTTAACAACTCAGGATTTTTCATTTCTAAATGATACTTTTTAGTTCTAATAAGTGTTCTTCCAGTAGGTGAGTGGACAAAACCGCCGAACACTGGTAGTCAGTCGTGGNATACACGTTAATAATTATAAAATATCTTCGTAAAATAATAATGTAAGGCGATTTAATACTTAAAATCTTATAAATTAAATAGAAATTATTAGCGAAACGCTGGTTGAAATCTTAACAATCTCGACTTCCTACAGCGGATTTAACCCTTGACGGCCATTAAAATGATAAAGATAAGTTAATATTAGTAACAAGTTAGTAGAAAATTTATTATATAAGAAGAAAAAAATAATAAATAGCTTACGAGTTTCCGTATATCTGATTCGGCATCTTTCTTCATCTGACCCAATTCTGCCACGTGTTCTTCGTGAATTTTCCTCAACTCGTTTGCTTTTCTTTTATCCGATTCTAAAGCATCATTCAATGCTTCTTCTAACCTTCTTTTTGCCGCTTTTAATTCCACTACTTCAATTGCCAATTTCCTGTTAAACCCTTCATTAGCAACCGGTGATATCTGTAAAGCTCTCCTTTCCGCATCCCTGACTTGAAGAGTTAAATGTTCTTTGATTTTTTTCGTTTCCGCTCGTGATTTTTTAATTTCTTCTTCTTTCTGGTGAAGGATTCTTTGTAATTCTGCTTCGAAATTCTTTAATAATATCTCTTTTTGCCTTTCTAATTCCGATAACTTTTCTTGTTGCAGGCGGTTCCTCATTTCCTCTAACAGTTCCAAAGTTTTCTTTCTTTCCGATTCTTTTATTTGTTTTAATTTGTGTTCGTCGATTGAAAAACTGTCGAAACGTTCGGTAGACATTGCCGATTTTCTTTATTTCAAGCCTAAGAAATAATTACATATTCTCAAATTTAAAATAATTTCTCTATTAATTAACCTATCTTTACACGAATTCATTAATTTATAATAAATTTAAACTCTTTTAAAATAAAATAAAAATAATAATTTTATTTTAATTAAAACTTTTTGAAAAAAACAGCGAATAAATAAAATAAAATTTTTAAAAACTTCTAGAGTTTCTAAAATCTGCCGCTAGAGGACACTACTTATATTCTGTCGGCAGCCATATTTAGTCCAGTTATTTATTTTCGTATTTATTTTAATAAAAATCTGCTTATTTTCTGATAAAATATGTAAATAAATTTCAATTTGACGCTATAAACTGCAATTTTTATATAGTAAAAGCAGTAAAAAAAATGGTGATATTTATCTTTCACTGGTATTTTTTTATGTCTAGTTAATATGAAGTATAAATTGCTTTCCTACAAAAAATATTGTTGTTTCTTTGCAAAAATTAAACTTAAAAAACCGTACGTTAAAATAACTTTTTAACAAAATAATTTCGTTTCTTTCATTAAAACATAAAAAAATAATGTAATAATTCTTTTACTCATCAAAAGATGGCGCTAATGTGAATATCTATACAATAATTAATCTATAAATCTTACTGCTATTGAGTTCAAATTTAATTATAACGGCTTTAAAATTCACTTTTGACGATGCACTTTCTTTACGAATTAATTAGAATTTTAAAAAATTAAATATTTAAGAAGCAGGGTTAAAGAAATCAGAAAAATAGAAAAATATATTTATAGAGGGCGATAGAAGCCACATCGTCGCCATCTGTCGACAAATTAATAAATCGACGACGTAAATATAATAGAACTAATAAATTTAAATATCAGCTTTTAAAAATATAAAAATATCCTATAATTCTTCGTTAAAATGATAATTATTTATANATATCATATGAAGCCTTTCAAATGTTAAGATTAGCAACTTCGCTCACATGTGGGGCAATCACAACCTATCCAACACTGATCACTTTTCAAATATTAATAGTAGACTAGTATTAATTAGTAGTCGGCAACCGTCCTCTCTTTCAGGAGGAAGTCAACTACAACTTTTGGTTGAGTTACTTAGACCCTCTTTGCAACAGTCCTTAAGTTTACAATTATTGATATATAAGGAAATAAAAAGTTTGCACAGTTTCTGAGGGTAAAATTAAACTATACATAAAAAAGTCCAGCAATGATGTGCATACTTTTCCCAGTGAAAAAATATTTATGTTTAAGAAACACTAAGATATATTGGAACAAAATTAAACTTCTGTTTAGTGTCATCTGTTATGACATATATTATTTTAAAAACTTTTATACAGTAATACCTCGACTTATGCTACCCCGACTTACGCAAACCCGGAGTTACGCGATTTTCAAATCTCGTCGATTCGTCTTTTGTTTGAGCGCCACGCAACTCTCGATTACTCACCCCCCCACACTATTTTTCAGCTTACATGTTCAGATGTGTCGTGCGGAATCGACACATAGCTACAATTTATTTTGTGTTATTTATTTCTGTGTTTGTTATATCTACGGAGACTCGAGAAACTCTATGTGGTGATTTCTTGTAACCGTGAATGAATCAAAAGATGAGATAAGATTAACGAGAACATTTATTAGTTACATACATCCGATTTGGATTTTACACAAATTGCGAAATTATACCCCGACTTACGCGAATTCGACTTACGCGGTTATCGCTTGGTCCCACCTATCGCATAAGTTCAAGGTATTACTGTATTCTTAATGATTAAAAAACACACAAACTTAATTTTGAGAGTCAAGACAAGTTTATAAAAAATTGTAAATGGCAATAATGAGTAATATTTTCAATAAGTCTTGACTTATTGAAAATATTACTCATTATTGCCATTTACAATTTTTTATAAACTTGTTCTGTCAATAAGTCTGGTCCCCACTCGAGATACAACACGTCAGTGGCGTCCCATGACATTTGATAGTAGGGAAGCTGTGTGTTTCTGTAAGAAGCCGACTTCCAGGGGCAATCAGTTAATTGAGTGTCAGTGATGGTCAAGGGTCCATTCGTATCATTTGTTTGATAAGCCAGTAAAAGCCGTAGACTTCTCTAAATGTATTTTTAATATCACAATTACGTTCCAAATCGCTAGCCACAATATAAGGGCTACAATTATAAATAAAATAATAAAAACTTACTTGGTGAAATAAAATGTGTGGTGGATGTACANACCAGATATGGGAAAAACAGCGGATGTTCTCCTCGATGAAAGGAAATAACATTTGTCATCTAGTTTTTCCCACGTCTAAAACAATATTTTTCTCACCAAAACGAAGTATTATTTGGTGACATTATTTAAGCATATTTAATAAAAATTATTAAATGAGGCCTAGGGCCTTCCGGATCTCACACAAACAGCATATTTGGTTTATCAAATAATTTGAATTTGTCACGTTCAAACTAACTGGATTTGACTGTATGTTAAACTTCAACATAACTATACAAAATGCACTTTAAAAAATTTGTTTAAATATTTTATATTAAGGGCAGTCATAAATTACGTAATGCAAATATGGTGAGTGGGTACGAAGGTAATCATTACAAAGTATTATGAGAAGTTGGAAGTGTTTACAAAATGTTAAGTGACACTAAAGTCTTTAAATTCAAAGGTGTTTTTTGTTAAATATAAGGATTAAATTATGGTAACAACTTCTCTGATTCAGCTATAACACTTATTGTGTTAATACGCAAACAAAGAAAGTGTTGTATAGCAAAACATACTGTATATGTCATTGCTTTGAGTGCTATACACATAATTCATAAAATAATGTAATGTTCAGTACCATATTCCTTAGTATAATAAAGGGGAGTCAGTAGAACATATGCTTACATAATTTTGTGGGTGAATACATGTGACGGCATTATGGAATGTTGCAGGGGATGAGGATGATAGTTGAAAAGTATAAAAATAGTGTCAGACAATTTATGGACCATCCCTCATACATTATATAATTACAAGAAAATTATGCCTTATTGGAACGAATTCTTCAAATAATTAAAAGCTGTAAGCATTTTTGAACTTTGCCAATTAATCTTTGCTCAACAAGGCTCAAAAATCTAAAATTAAAACACAAAAAAAAAAACATTAAAAACATAATTTATTATGTTTAATTAAACAGAAACAATGATTTCTACTTTTGGTCAATTACAGAATATAAAAAAATTTGTCTTACAAGACTCATAAAACAAATTTTAGAATACTTTTTGAAATACTTTATTCTCTTTGAAAATAAGCCACCGAAGCTCAAGAACACTTAAACTTAAAATATTAAAAGAATTTGTTCCAATAAAGCATAATTTATGTTTTATTATTGCTATCGTAATTACAATCTCTGTTTGTTTTGTCTACTAAAGTGCATTTTGCTACTGGATTTTTAATGTTGGTGTATTTATTTGAACTTCATCCAGTCATACAAACCGTTTACATATATAAAGCTTAACCAGTAAACCAGACATGTGGAGTGATTGTAAATTTTTCCCGTAATTACAACAAGACTATGCTGGGCGGAAGCATGCAATCTGCGGCAAAATTTAGGTTGCTTCCTATGATGTTATGCTTACTGTAATCAGTCCAGA